GGGAGCAGGGGAGAATTCTGATGAGATGTTAGAGCCAAACAGAACCTCATTAAGTTGTCCAAACCCAAGGAGGAGGCTGACATGGAGGAAATGTCTTTTCTTGAAGGCAGCTGGATTTTTGTTTTGCTTTTTTGCCTTGTTTAGGTTTTGGCTTCCTTTCATTGGGCCCTGACTGGCGGCCATGACCCTGACAGTGGCCTCTCGCGGGGGGGATGCAGGCAACCCCCCTACTCCCCCCGCCAGCTGGCTCCTGGGAGGGAGCTACGCAGTGCAGAACCAGAGGCTCTTTCCCATCTCCCCCCAAGAGTTAGCTCAGTGTTCTTGCAAAGGCACAGAGCTTCTCTTTCCACCCCTCTCCACTGTGACTCAGGGCCCTGCAGGCTCTTGCTCATGCTTGTGCCCTTCCCCAGCTCTCTTGGAGGGTTTGTCTTTCAGCCAGACTGCTGAGCTTCTAGAATGCTCTAGGCTAAGGGAACAGGCCCAGACTTTCCAGCTGGAGGGCAAGTAGGAGCCAAACTGGCTGAGGGCCTGACAGGCTGAATTGATAATAACTGCAGTTCTATGGTAGCAGGGCCAGGGGAAACCAGCCAAGTGACCTCGGAGCAGGAGGCAGCTGCTGTGGTGGCCAAGAGCTTCCATCCCCGGGAGCAACAGAGGCACGTAATGCACGTGGAAATGGAGAGTCTCCACTGAAGGGCCTACCCACCGGCACGCTAGCACTCTTAGGTGGACACATTCTACTGGCAAACATATGAAAGTGACCCAGAAGGGAGAGCCGAGGCCCAGAGGGAATGGGAACCCTCATAGCTCGTCCTCACGTGGACTCCTGCCAGAAGCTGCTCTATTTCAGGCCTCCCTCCCTGAAGCTGCTTGACAAGCAGAGCTACTTAAAATACCTGTCTGAAGCCTGTTGGCTTAGCCTGTCTCTAAGATAACTCCCCCCTTTAGCAATGTTCCTATGACAAGCAGCACGTAGTCTTGAGCCCAGGAGGCCATGTGGTCCCCTCATCAGTGCGTGTGCACGTGAAAGGAAGGTGGAGAAGCTGTGGAGTGCCCCAGACTGCTCCGGGGAAGATATGATGGGGAGGGTATAGGAAGGGAGACAGGCTGGGGAGCAGCCCAAACTGAACACATTGGACAGCCTCAGGGTTTTGTTGTTTTCCCTCTCACAATACCATCTATTTTTCTTGAGTATGAAAGTTAAGGTATTTTCACAGTCTAAAAGTTTGAACATGTTAAAAAGTGGCAGAGAAGGAAGAATGACACCTATCATCTCACTCCCAGTTGTCCGGGGTTGGGCTGCAGGGAGCTGCCATGTTAGTGACTCATCATAGGTAAGGAGCAGTAGTTTCCTATGGTTCTGCCTCCAATAGCAGCACGTTCCAAATATTTCCCATTGCCCTAAAGGGACACGCGTGGGATCCTAATAAGCACATAGGTCTGTGCCCAATTCTTTTCTTTCATTAAACATAATACAGTTATTCTACCCACCCGATCATGCAATTAAAAATTGTCTCTAAACAGTGTTTTTAATGGTTACATAACCTCCGTCATTTGGGAGTATCAAGGGCATTTCCGCAGCCTCTGGCTCCTTGTCCCATCGCCCAAGGAAAGAAAGAGCCTTGTTTCTGGCATTGCTGGCCAGGGGAGGGCTGGGACTGGCTCCCAGCAGAGCCGGGGAGAGAGAGAGCTCTGGTGACAGGCTACCTCCCCTGCCGGAAGGCAGCTGGCCCTTGTCTCCGCTCAGGACATGTGCCGAGTGCAGACGGAGGATGGCTGGTGGAAAAGTTTGCCCCTGAGAGGCTGGCAGAGTGCACAGAAGGGCATGCTCACAGCCAGGGACCAAAATAGGGTTCTGGAGGGGAATCCGAGTTCAGCAGGAACCTCCTCGTTGTCAGAGAGGATGCTGATCTCCCGTCTCTGGGGGGACCGAGCTGAGTGAGTTGCTGCAGAAGTCACATTTCTTCCTAAGTCCCCCTCCTCTGCCATAGGCTCTCGCTGCTCCTCAATAAACTTCAGAGTCAGATCAAGCTCTTAGGGAATGTGAGCTGAGACAGAGATGGTCACCCTTGACCAAGCTTCCCATGGGGCTGCCACTCACTTGACCTCCCTAGGGAAATGAAAGGATGAAGATGGCAGAGGGGGAAGAAAAGAGAGGGACTGGGAGAGAGGAACAGAGATGAGAGAGGGTGGAAAGGGATCCTCCCTGGTGCTGATACTGGTGACCAACTGATGGTTTAAATCATGTTTTATCCCTGTGCCTAAGTGCACTAATCTGTAAAATGGGACTAACTCTTCACCTAGGCTTATTGCCACATTTAATATATTATTGTATTGAAACCAGGTAGTAGAAAGCAAGTTGCTGTCCTCATGAGCAACTATAAAGGGGAAGAAAGACAATGCCCCCCCAAATTAAACCAACAGTAAATGCATACTCTGACAGCAGACACTATGGAAAAAATTATAAGGGCCTATGTAAAGCTGCCACTTTCATCCTGGGACACCTTTATCACAGCTCTGGCTTGCATATCACATGCTCCAATCCAGCTGCAACCAGATCCAATCCAACCGGTTGCGTCAGGGAAAGCAGTGGAAGACGGCCCAAGTGCTTGAGCACCTAGAACCCCAGGGAGGCCTGGCTGGGGTTCCAGGCTCGTGGTTTTGGTTTGACCCAGCTCTAGCACTGGGTACTGGGGAGTCCTTTGGGGGTGGGGTGAATCTCTGTCTTTGAAGGATTTTGATTGTTTTTAAAGGCTTATTTATTTAGTTTGGAAGGCAGAGTTACAGAGAGGGGGAGAGACAGAGATTTTCCACCCACAGGTTCGTTCTCTAGATGGCTACTACCACTGGAGGTGGGCTTTCTGAATCCAGGAGCTTCATCTGGGCCTCCCACATGGGTAGCAGGGGCCCAAGCACTTGAGCCATCTTCTGCTGCTTTTCCCAGGCACATTATCAGGGAGCTGGATATGAAGTACAGCAGGCAAGATACAAAACAACACCCATATGGGATGCTGAGGTTGCAGGCAGCAGCTTTACCCACTGTGCCACACTGCTGAAAATGTATTTGTCTGTTTGAAAGACAAAGTGACAGAGAGAGTCACACACACACACTCACACACACACACACACACACACACACACACACACAGAAAGAGAGAGAGAGAGGGAGAGAGAGAGAGAGTTGGGGGAGATTCAGAGAGAGACAAAGAGATTTCCTTTCTGCTGATTCATTCACCAAATGACTACAATGGCCAAGGTTGGGCCAGGTAGAAGCACAAGACTAGAATTCCCTTCAGATCTCCCATGGGGTGGCAGGGGTATAGCTCAGTGGTAGAGCATTTGACTGCAGATCAGATCTCCCATGGGGGTGATAGGGACTAGAAGCAGGGTAGCTGGCACTCCAGTCTTGGATGCTGATGTCTCAATTGGCACCTGAGCCCTCAGTGTCACAGTACTGCTCCCCTTGGCTCCCACTTCTCTCCCTCATCCTCTTTGTCACTCAGCCTTTCACATAAATAAATCACAGAAAAAAAGACCATAGCAGGGCAAGCTAATGGACAGTGAACGGGAAGAAAGAGGTGGGCAGTGGCAGCTGTCCTGTGAGCTGTAAACACCCAAAGCATTAGTGATTGCATTTTGGGACGCTCTGAAGCCCTAGGAAGTGCATATGTGGGTAATTCATTTATTTTGGATTGGCGTCTTGGGGTCAGTAACCTGCAGTTCCCCTTCTGTGTTCACTGTTGCTTGAGCTTTGTTGGCCGAGCATCAGGGTGCTTGTTGAGGCCATGTCTAGGACATGAGGCACAGGCCCTGTGTATGTACCCTGCCTCCTCCAGATTGAGCTATTCTAACACAGGAGAGCCGGGAGAATCACAGGGCTGCTTCTGGGCTCTGCTGGGTGGCACCAATGGAGAGCCGAGACCTGGGGTGTTGCAGAGTCCTACCCAGGAGAACCTGCAGGACAAGGAGGATCTCAGCTGAGCCTTGTTTCTACTGGGCAGTGATTCTGGAGCTCTTGGCACAATGTGATTGAAGCTGGGCACGGGGTTTGGGGTCAGGGTTAGTTAGTGAAGATATGGGGGAGCTGGGACCAGGTCATGTGATGCATGTGTGTAGGGTGATGAATAAAAGGAGTACATGCACTTATGCATGGGCACAGAGTCAAGGAACAGGCATCACGTGATCTTTGTGGTCATGGTCACCTCTGTCCTGCCATGGAGGCTTGTCTCACTCCAAGGACAGACATAGGTCAGGCTTATTGGGCACATGTGTGGCCTCTTGGGAACCTCCCCAGTTAGGCCAGCATCTCTCCCATTGGCAGGCATTACGGAGCCTGGCAAATACCTTCTTGTCCCAGCGTGCAGGAAGCCCTTGAAGGCTATCTGAAGTCTCCAAGGTGTTAGCTCCCTGAAGGCCTGGTTCACGGTGCTGACCACAGAGCCAGAGCAGGATCCGGGATACAGTGCTTGTGGAAAGAATGAACGCTGCTCGTCCAACCTGCCTCGGTTTACAGAGCAGAAACTCGAGCCATCATAGGAACCCCCGCTGACCTTGACCTCTTCTGTTGTCCCCTCTCCAATCCTCAGCAACTCCACTTTGTTCAGGCTGCCACAGTTAGATGAAATTAGACAGGAAGCTTCCTGACCCGGGTCTAGTAGAAGGTGGTAAATGAATGTGTGTTTTCCTCCTTCCTTCTCTTCACATTCATTTCAAGTTTCTCTTCCAGGCAGTTCTGTGTATTAAAATCATTTTCTTTTATTATCCTAAGTGTCTTTCCCAACTGTATTTACTATTCACATGCTGTGGGACAGGAGGGACAGGCACAAAGGATTGAATGAAAAGGCAACCTGTTAATAGCCTGGCTTGATGAGAGTCATCCTTCGAAGTGTGTTAATGAAGCCGGGGTAGCCCCAACAGAATGATCGCATCAGGCTGTCAGGGCACAAGGGGATTCTCTCCAGAATCTCCATCTAAGTTCCTGCCGCCTTCCTCGCTCACAGTGGCAGATGAAATGCTGCAAGTGTGACTCCAGGCTGCCGCACAATTACAACGGTCACCGAGTGGAGAACGTGGCTTCATCCTCGGGCCCCACACGCTGGTGGCAGTCACAGAACGGTGAGTGCCTGCCACCTACAGGGGCCAAAGCTGGTGGAGGTGCTACAGATTGGGTGTGGGTGGAGGGCGCCTGGGAGCCCCCTGTCTCTCTCTCAGGCATCTCTTTAGGCCACAAGGTGTGGGTGCTTGGCAAGCAGAGCCTTCTGCCTCTGTATTCAGAGCCTGCGGGATGCCATGGGTAGAAGTGTTTACAGGTTAAGGGGAGCTTGGAAGAGGGAGGGATGCTTTTGTTCCGCTCCACTCAGTCTCAATGGGTGGGCTTTGGGAAGGAATTGATCTTGGGAACAGAACTGCATCCAGTAGGTATTGAAGGTATCGGGATATGGTGGGAAGGAAGGAGAGGAAATTTGGCCTTGAGCAGAGAGAGTCCAGAACAGATAAACAGAAACATACTGACATGTAGCTCTCTTCTTAAGAGAGAGTTTGGATAAGCGCAGAGTGAGTCTTCCAGGCTGTGGCCTTAAGTTTCCATTTTCTGTCCTTCCAGATGTGAGCCCTGTCTCCCTGCAGCTGGACCTGGACAGCAGATTCCAGCTGCACGACATCATGATGGATTTTAAGGTAAGTTTCCTGAGAGGAGACCCTGGGTCATGTGGGCTTAGACACAGGGTGTGTCTTGCCTCCCCAGGTTGAGGGTGATGGTGCTGTGTGCTAGGTGATACTCGTAGCAAGACACTCTTAGTAAGCATACCTACGCCATGGCGACAGCTGAGGGAGTGTGGTGGCACCTCTAGGCTCCCTGTTGTGGCCCTGAGGTTGGCAGGGGGACCCTCCCTTCTCTGTATCTCCTATTCTCAACTTATGTAATCAACTCAGCTTTGTGGAGTGTTAGTTCCACCGGGCTGGTTGCTTATTGTACAATTGCTTCTTCTCAGTGTCCTCTGTTTTAATGACTTTGCACATGAGATAGAGTTTAACAGACAGCCCAGAACCGGCCCCATCCTCGTGAAAGATGCGCTGTGGAGCAGTTTTCCCAGCTGACCCTCATTCATTCGGTGCCTTCACTTCTCAGGTGTTTAGAGTTGGCTGTTAGCCTCCTGAGACACTCCTCCGAAGAGAGTATTTTAATTCACCTGTGAGATTATTGTTTGCTTTACAGAGAAGATTTGATTTGATTTGTGGTACAGAAATACTCCAATATTCAAGGATCAAATTTGGTTAGAAAGACGAGATGATCAGCAATGGTGATAGGGTTTCCAGGAGTTAAAAATGAACTTGGAAAAGAAAGCAATAGGACTACATTTCTGACATGACTGAGAAAGTTGGCTCGAAAAGCATTGCCCCAAGGAAAGGTCAAGAGTATTTTGAGAAATGACAGTCATTTGAATAAATGCCCAGTCTCTAAAGGTGACAACTTTGAAGGGCGATGTTCACCTGCATGCATGTGGCTAAGTATCTCATTGTTGTATTATCACACACCCACTCATTAGCCTGTCAAATCTCACCATACATGTATGAGGGGTCTTCTGACAGCTCATGGAAAGTGTGTTATACAAAAACTATGCGTGAATTTCAAAATTTGTTGGACCAAAATGAGCTTATCTTTAGTTTAATTTTCCACGAAACTTGCAGAATACTGTCTTATTGAATACTGATTGCATGTTAATGTTATGTGTTAAAGATTGAAATATGAATAAAACAAAATCATAGACCTTGAGCTGTTTTTGCCATAAGTAGGGAAGACAGACAAGGAACCCTTCAGAGCCTAGCGCTGGCAGGGTAAAGGGCAGATAGGAGGAGTATGTGCCAGGACCATGAAGTGGAGATGGCAAGAATGTGTATCACCGAGGAGGGGTGCGAGGGCAGCCAGGGGTGTGAGAGGGGTTTGAAGGGCGGGGTGCAGGGGGCTGCCACCTGGGAGCTAAGTTTACAGATGTGAATAGGATGGGGGAGCTGACTCAGGACTCACCATTCATCCAACGGATGTGCGCCAAGCACCTTCATGTGCTGGGTGCTGGGGTGCACTGCAAGCAAGACAGGCAAGGCATCTACAGTATATTGTACTGGTTCCCAACTGAGGACAGATTTGCCTTTCCATTTCCTAGGAGAGATCTGACATTTTCCAGAGACAGTTTTGGTTGTATCTTCTTGACCTATGGTGATTAAAAGGGACATTGCTTGTCATTGTACAATGCGCAGGACAGACCAATGGACTCAGAAGGACCCAAATCAAGGTGTTTGCCAGCTGAGAAATCCTGTTATGGTGACAGAAGAATAAAAAGCATGACACTACCTGGAAATCATGGGGTTGCTCCTGAAAAAGGGAGACAGGGGTGTGGATGAGGAGACAGTATGGTGGAGCAGAAAGATGCACAGTAAAGAGAGAGTGGCAGTGAGGTCTCCAGGGACCAGGGGTGTTTTGGCAGGTGAGAGCTCACCAGGAAGGTATTCTAGGCAGAAGGAGCGCAGGCAGCAGGACTCTGAGACATGCACCAAGGGTGGCATGGGACCTGCAGATAAAAGGTGAAGACAACCAGGGTCCAGGGAACACAGGGGTCTTTGCTCATGAGTAGGAGTTCAAGTTTTAATCAGGACTAATGGGGCAAAGGTTTTTTTGTGTTTTTTTTTTTTTTGTTTGTTTGTTTTTTAAAGCAGAGACATGACACAGCCTGCAGAATGTTTTGAAAAGAAAAGCGAGCTGTCTGTATGTGGTGGCAGGTGTATCCAAGGTCGGACTAGATATGGAGGACCCAGGTGGAGCCTGCTGAGCACAAGCTGGCTGCCATCACTATCACGATGGCATTTACAAAATTGTATTTATTTTCATTGTATTTGGAAGAGGATGGGGGAGAGGGAGAAGGAGATAGGTCAGACTATCTTCTATCTGCTGGTTTACTCCTAAATGCCCACAACAACCAGTGCTAGACCAAGCCAAATCCAGAGGCCCGGAGCTCCACCTGGGTATCCCCTGTAGGTAGGTGGCAGGGACCCAAGGATTTGAGTCACCGTCTTCTGGCTCCCAAGCTGTGCACTAGCAGAAAGCTGGATCAAAAGTACAGGAGCTTAAAACAAACAGACAAACAGTAGAGGAGCCTTGAGCAAGATATTCTAATATGAGATGCGGGCATCCCCGCAGGTGGCTTTAACCTCTGTGCCAAGCACCTGCCCCAAGGTGTAGAGCCATCTGAATTGGATGGAATCACTGAAGGAGGGGACTAAGACATCATGTCAAGACAAGGAGCTTGCATTTTATCTTTAGGTCTTTACAGATCCATTGAAGGGGCTCATGGTCTCATAACCATTCAGGAAGATCTCTCTTGTGCCATGGGGAAAGTGGCTGGGTCCAGTCGGAGACTGAGAGCAGCAATTAAGACCCTGCATGGGCCACCCGATCCTATGTTGGAGTGCCTGGGCTTAAGTTCTGGCTTTGTTCCTGATTCTGATTTCCTACCGATGTGCACTCTGGGAGGAGCAAGTGAGCAGTCAGGCACTTGAGTCCCTGCACCTACATGAAGGGCTCAGCCCGAGTTCCTGGTTCTCAGCTTCTGCTTTCAACCTGGACCAGCTCCAGCTATTGTAGGTATTTGAGGAGTGAATCAGGGAATGGAAGATCTCTCTGTTTGACTTTGTAGTAGAAATAAATGCATTTAAAAAGGGCTGGGGTGTTCAAGGCATTGACAGTTAAATGGATCAAGACCATGACCTGCCTGAACGATGGCCGTGGCAGAATGCAGGGCTAGGCGGGCTCACTGTGATTGGGTGTGTAAAGCACAGAAGCAAGGGCTTCTCCTGGCTGGCCCTGGCCCTGCTGATGGGCCGAACCAGTGGTCACTCCTTCTGGAATGCAGGTCTCCCCACTGTTACCTGCCTCCATTCCCCTGGGAGAATCTACTGTGGCCTGCAGGTTGTCAGGTTGCATGGACCCTGAAGCTGCTGATCCTGCCTGCCCCTGCTGGGTCTCCTCTCTCCCCTTCTGTTTCTCTCATGGGAGGTCTGTTCTAGGATCATGTGCCTGCCCTGCCTCCCTCTCTCCGGTCACTCAGGCTCCAGTCCCACTTGTGTCTCCGTAGGGGCCCATGCCTGCTGGCCTGCTGATTGAGCGCTCCTCTGACTTTGGCAAGACTTGGCGGGTGTACCAGTACCTGGCTGCCGACTGCACCTTGGCCTTCCCCCGTGTCCGCCAGGGCCAGCCTCAGAGCTGGCAGGATATTCGGTGCCAGCCCCTGCCCCAGAGGCCGAATGGGCATCTAAATGGGGGGAAGGTAAGTCAGGGATCTTTGAAAAGTACGCACATGGAACATTTCCAAGATCCCACTGCTCAGATGTTCATAGAGAGTTTGGAGAAGAGCTGAGAATGTCCTTGGTCAGTTCTCCTTGCTGACCCAATGGTGACCCTTCAAGACATGTGTTGCTCATGCCCCCTGCTGCCAAGGGGATAGCATTTGAGGGATGTCTCAAGGTCACTTGGTTATGCAACCTTGCCCTCTCCCACAGCCACCTCCAAAATGACCCTTAGCACATTTTTGTAGGGAAGTGGATTCTCCAAGATCAAGACCTTTGGGATAGCTACCAAGAGGCAAATCTGCAAATGACACGAATTGAATGTCATACTGGTAGGGCTGAAGACAAAAATGCTCTCTCCAGTTCACTCCATTCTTTCTAGCCCAGTCCTAGGCCTTGGAGGGAAAAATTCAGGTCTACAGAGATTTGGGTCACCTGGATTTGAACCCAGAACTGAAGATGAGAACCTGTCCCTAGAAGCACCCAGAGCATTTTTCCCCATTATTTTCTTAATTGCATTTCTGATTCCCCCACCCAGAGCTGCTGTCCCACTTCTCCTCCTGGCTGAGACACAGGGGCACCCAGAGCTGCCTTCTCCCTCCTCCTTGTCCTTCACGTCATCCTCCACAGTCTCCAACCTGAGCACAGGACATGTGTCCTAGGTTCGTGGAGGGTTGACATGCACACTCTATCTAAATGAGTAGTCCTTATTACACAGAAGAAGTAGAGTTGAAATTGGAGGTGTCCAGAGCGCTGTCATCACCTCCTTCCCACATGCCGAGTCATGCTCTCTCCTTCATCCTGGGTGACTTTAAAATGATTCTGTATCTTAGCCCTCTCATGCCAATTTCTGCTACCTGCATTGTTGATCCAGACAAATCAGGAAAGACATAGGTATTTAGGTTTTCAACCAGAGAGAAGAGGGTTGGACACACACACACACACACACACAAGGCCATCTTCTAGCTCCCCCAGGCTGCAGGTGGGAGGGAGGCCATGGAGTCTGAGCTGGTGGGCCATCACAGCAAAAGGCAGCTTCCTCTGGGCCGGGGACGCACCCACTCCTTCTTCTTCAGTTCTCCTACCCAACTTTCTCTAGGTCCAGCTCAACCTGATGGAGTTAGCATCTGCCATTCCAGCTACTCAAAGTAAAAAAATTCAAGGTCAGTGTGGCTCCCCTTGTTGCCTGTGGGACTACAGGGGGGAGCAAAAAATGTTAGCATCTGGGCCCAACTTGTAATTCCCCAGGAGTCTTGCTCCTCACCCTGCTGACCTCATGGGGTGCTGTGTGTTATGGGGTCATGTCATGGGGAGGTTGAGGGTCTCCTGGTTCAGCATTCAGAAGACAGCGAAAAGGAGTTGGAAGACCAGCCTCTTCTGACCCATCGTCCCCCAGAACAGCTCTATTTGCTGTTGTTTCTTCATTTTTACTTTACTTTCCCAACCCCTTTTCCCTGCTTGTCATTGACTCCCCTCAGAACTAGGTGACATCACCAACCTGAGAGTCAACTTCACCCAGCTGGCCCCTGTGCCCCAGCGGGGCTACCACCCTCCCAGTGCTTACTTCGCCGTGTCCCAGCTGCGGCTGCAGGGCAGTTGCTTCTGTCATGGCCATGCTGACCGCTGCACCCCCAGGCCTGGAGCCCCTGCTGGCCCCTCCACTGCTGTGCAGGTGACAACCTGGAGTGTGATGGGCTGAGCGGGAGGGGGCAGGGCTGGGGCAGTTGAGGGACGTTCTCGGGGCTCCTGTAAAGCACACAGGGCACAGCAAGGTGTACAGCGTTGGGGCAGCCACAATGAAGAATCTGAGTACTCTCTTAGCGTCAGTGCTACAGTACCCCTGGAAGTCGGCTTTACAGTTTGGGATGTGCCTTAACTTTTTAGTAGGAGAGCTCAGGCAGGCAGAATTTCTCAACCTTGGCTACATATTGTAGTTATAATATGCACATTATTATTCAAATATGTAAATACATAAGTTACAACCTATGCTTTCATTGAGAACTACCAAAAAAATTACCCAGACCACCACCCTAAGATGCTCCGATGTTATCATTGGCAACAACACTGCAGAAGTCCCTAGGGATCCTCGTCCCACCTAGCAGTGAGATGGGGGCAGAGTAAGCCAGCAGTGCTTAGGATAGAGGCTGAGTCCAAATCAGACCGGCAGAGTCCCATCTGGGAAGCATGGGAGCTGTTCAATAAGCTGCTTGGGGTATTTCCCCGGGAAACCCAGCATGAGATCTGAGAGGAGAGCCCAGGGACCCTGGGACAGAGAAGCAGAGTGTCGTGTCATCTGCCCTGCCTGGCTTCCCTCTCCTGTCATCAGACGGCAGTGTGCGATTTGTCGGAAATCACATCCAATAGCCTGGGAGAGGAAAACAGACAAGAGGAGTGTCCCTCCACTCTGTTCTTGCCAGATCTGGATCAGCTCCTGCTCTGAGCTGCAGAGGAGCCAGAGGGAGGCCGGCCCAGGGAGTGCTGAGGGCTTGTGAAATGGTGACAAGAGCCCAAGGCTGGCCCAAGAGGGTCGCAAGGCAGGATGGATGTGGATGAAGGAGACAGCTCAGCCTGGTGCCTCACAGAGAAGGCTTCATGGGGGATCACCAGTGCCTGGGGCCTGGACCCCCGAGAATCACATCAAATTGGACCTGCGTATTTTAATTCCACTGCTCAAGTGCAGACAGGGTTGTGATCTGTGCCTCAGGAAGGAGTCCCCATATTGGCTGGGGCTATTGCTGGTCAACGGAGAGAAGGGAATTCTAAGCTGAAGGAAAAACAGCTGGGGAAAGGAGGGGCCTGTGCTGGCCATTCACGGGAGACAAGGATGGAGCAAACACAGGATGCATCCTCTAATGCCAGGTGGGCGGGGTTAGGTCTAACTTGGAGGGCAGTTAGCACACAATAGCTCTTTTCTTTTTATGCTTTCATGAGTCCAGTAGCAATTTACCATCGGCGTTCCATCTGCCCAGTCACAGAGGGCTGGCATGTAGCTCTCCACTGAGCCGCCAGCTCCAACAATCATGGATCAGCAACAAGGACATCCCAGTGCTGTTCAGATGTTGTCTCGCCCTGGGTGACATCGGGGTGTCCAAGCGCTGGGGAGAACAGCAGGTGCACTCATCCATACCTGTGCGCGCTCTCTCTCTCTCTGTCTGTCTCTCTCTCTCTTTCACATACACACACACACACAGGCAAGGATAGGCCACTGGTCCTCAGGACAGGGTTCAGCCACCAGCCCTATCAGGGCACTATGCATGTCCTGAGGACTGGGTGGCAGGGGCAGAGAGGACAAGGACAGGGCCATCCAAGGTGTTCCCCTTGGCGAATTATTCCTGCTGACAGAGGCTTGTTCTCCCTCAGGTCCACGATGTGTGCGTTTGCCAGCACAACACTGCTGGCCCCAACTGCGAGCGCTGCGCACCCTTCTACAACAACCGGCCCTGGAGGCCCGCCGAGGGCCAGCACGCCCATGAATGCCAACGTAAGAACCTGGCCCCCCTCCTCCCTAGCAGGCAGAAGCTGGGTTGGGAGCTGGCCCTGCAAGGCCCCCGGGCCTCCTGCAGGAACTGGCAGGGATCTGTATTGTAATATTTAGTCTAAGCTAAAGTTTGCTTGCACCGGAGGCTCACCTGGCTCTGTGGTGATGGAGGGGCCATTTGAGTGGCATCTCCCCAGTGTTTCCACAGCCCCTCTCAGCCAAGCCTAGGGGCACCAAGGCTTGGGCCCCTTTCATAAGGTCCCTCCACAGCCTTACCCTGCTTAGAACCTACCTGGTTTCCTGCTTCTGAGGGAGCCCTGGAGCCAAGATCTCTGCCTATGAGAGTGAAGGAAGCAGGGACTCCGCTGGCCTAGAGAGAGCAGAGGACCAAAGGGAAGTCTCTGGGGTGGGGGAAGGCTTGGGCATGCTCCATTCCCAGGGCTCGCTCACCCAGCATGGCTGATCACCCTGGGAGCCAGGAGGCCTGTGTTCTTACTCTACTCTGCTCTCTTCCTGGTTGCATAGCCTTTAGGAAGTTAGGGAAGGAGGCCTCCCTAGGCTTCGATTTCCCCATCTCACCTCTCTGAGCTGCGCTGCAGAGCCATGGAGCCTCCAGTTGGTGGAGCGAGCTCTGTCGATGACAATTATGGTTCTGGCAATGGTGCTGGTCTCATGTCACCACCCTCCCGGGGGGCGGATTCTCCTTTCCCAGGGTGTGACTGCAACGGGCACTCCGAGACCTGTCACTTTGACCCTGCTGTGTTCGCCGCCAGTCAGGGCACACACGGAGGTGTGTGTGACAACTGTCGGGACCACACGGAGGGCAGGAACTGTGAGCGGTGTCAGCTGCACTACTTTCGGAACCGGCGTCCGGGTGCTCCCATCCAGGAGAGCTGTATCCGTGAGTTAGGGCCCTGGGGACCCAGGAGTCATCCATCCACCTTGCCCACCTGCCCTGGCCATGTCCTGGGGACACAAGCCTTCAGGGAGCATGGAGGCTCACTTGTGGGTCAGGACATGTATAGCTTGTTTAGACAAGTCAGTTGACCTTTCTGAACCAGTGAGCAGTCAGTCAGTTAACAGTCCTTACTTTGACCATAGAAGAGAGAGAAAAAAACAAACATCACATACACTGCCTGCTCTCAGGGAGTGCAAACTCTGGTTGGTAACAATGTGGACACCCATGAATGCCAGGATGAGGTATTTTTCTATGAGCCTCTCCGAGAAGTTGGCGGCAAGTGTGGACTTTGAAAAAACGATATATAGATTTCCAGTGATTTTTGCATCTGAGAAAACTTATTTACAAATTCCATTTTTCCACGAACTTTTTGGAGTATCCATGTATATTATTTCTACTGTGCTAGGACGTGGTTTACTGCTTATTTTTTCTACTTTCCTATGAACCTAGCACAATGTTTGCAAATTATTGTTTTACAGACTGTCTGTGTAGTTGTTCATTTGAGAGACAGAGAGCAAACCCCCATCCACTACTAGTTCTCTTCCAACATGTCCTGTTGCTGAGTCAGGAGCTGGGCACTCAATCCACTCTGCCTCATGGGTGGCAGGATGACAGTTCCTGGATGCGTGAGTTATCAGGGAGCTGGAGTTAGAAACCGGAACCTGGCACTGACCCCAGGCCCTCTGGTATGGGATGTGGACATCCCAACTGACATTCAGAACCAGCAAGGCCTCACATTGGCCGGTTCTGGCTGCTGAAGGGCCGCCTGTCAGTCAACTCACAAATGGAAAGAAATGGAACAGAATGCCCAGAGGTGGCTTCACATTTCCACAAGGCCAGTCATGGAGGGGAGGGCGAATGAGACGGGAGCAGTCGGTCCGGCAGCCTCATCAGGGGAGTGATGAGAGGCCAGGAGATGAGTGTGGGAGAGGGGACCACTTCCTGTTAGCGTTACTGCGTGTTGAAAGAAGACAGACACACTTGGCTCTGACCTGCTGCTGGCATGTATTGGTAGGGTGATCTCTTATATTTGGTTTTACATTTATTTGTTTTTATTTGAAAGGCGGATTTTACAGAGAGAGAAAAGGAGAGATAGAAAGGGTCTTATACCCATGGGTTGACTACCCAAATGACCACAAAAGCAGAGCTGAGCCTCCCACACAGGTGCAGGGTCCCAAGGCTTTGGGCCGTCCTCTGCTGTCTTCCCGTGCCACAAGCAGGGAACTGGGTGGGAAGCTGGATTGGCGGCCAGGACTGAGCCATAGGGGATGCTAGTGCTTGCAGGTAGAGGATTAGTCAGTTGAGTGGCTAATTATCTCAAGTTCTTTAACATCCCTGAGCCTCAGTGCCCTGGTCTGTACGTGGGTATGAGCAGTCCCCACCTTGCAGGGTGATCTTGAGGACTAAGAGGTGTCAAGTGACAGTGCCCAGCCCAGTGCAAGCAGGTGACCTTGGCCCTGAACAGGTGCCAGGGAATGTCCCACCTTCTCCAACTTAGCCTCTAGTATTTCTCCCATTTTACACATGAAGGGACAAAGGTGTAGTGTGGCTGAGGAACTTCACCAGGTTAAGCTGTGACCAAAAGCCCAAGACAGAATGAGGTTTTGAACCGGATTGACTGGCTGTTCTCACTGCTCTTGTTTCCCAGCCTGCGAGTGCGATCCAGATGGGGCTGTGCCAGGAGCCCCTTGCGACCCAGCCACCGGGCAGTGTGTGTGCAAGGAGCATGTGCAGGGAGAGCGCTGTGACTTGTGCAAGCCGGGCTTCACCGGGCTCACGCACACCAACCCGCAGGGCTGCCACCGTGAGTCGGGGACCCGACCTGGTCAGGGCGTGCGGCCAGTGGAGGCGTTTACTAATCCCTCAGCTCTAATTCCCAACGTGCGTTGTATGGTGGGGACTTGCCAGCTATTGCCCCTTCTGTCCTGTATTTTCCCCAGCTCTAGGTGCTGTGCCCCTTGCTTCCAGCAGATGGCAGCACAGGCCGGGGTTGGAAGGTGGGACTGAGTCAACCTGAGCGAGCGGGTCCGGCGGGCGGCCAAGCTGCCAGCTGGCCAGAGGTCACAGCCGGCCGGACTGTCGGACTGTCGTGCAGGGAGCCGTCCTGCCCCATGCTGCTCCTGCTGCGGGCCAGGACTCACTGGCCCCTCTTCCCACCCTTTCCGTGCGTCCCGCAGGCTGTGACTGTAGCATCCTGGGAGCCCGGCAGGACATGCCCTGCGACGAGGAGAGCGGGCGCTGTCTGTGTCTGCCCAACGTAGTTGGCCCCAAGTGTGACCAGTGTGCCCCCAACCACTGGAAGCTGGCCAGCGGCCGTGGCTGCGAACCGTGTGCATGCGACCCGCGTTACTCCCTCAGCCAGCAATGCAACCAGGTGCGGGAGAGGGGTCCCATCCTGGAGGACCAGGGCCTGGGGGGGAGGCCCATGTGTCTCTTGCCATTGGCCACTGCCCCAATTGCCACGCCTTGCTCAGGGCCTCGCTGGACCTGGACTTGGACATTTGCTGTTGGGGAACGGCAGCCTGTGAGCCCAGAGCCTACACGCCGGGGCTCTGGAACACAGCCCCTAAGCCCCTAACTCCTGGGGCTGGGGTGGGCAAGGCGGAGCCCAGGTAGCAGAAACCCCTGATGGCGCCATCTGTCCCCCAGTTCACAGGCCAGTGCCCCTGCCGGGAAGGGTTCGACGGCCTGACGTGTAGCGCTGCGGCCATTCGCCAGTGTCCGGATGGCACCTACGGAGACGCGGTGACCGGATGCCGAGGTGCGCTGGTGGTATCGTGGAGGGTGGCAGGGCAGCAAGTGCCAACACCTATGGCCTAGGGGCCAAGGAGGGGGAACTCCACTCCTTGTACACAGGACACCTGTCCTGGTCCCACCCTCCCCCCATGGAGTGTTTTTCAGGAACAGTAACAGGGATGGGGATTGGGGAGGGTGCTCGCTTTGGGGGCGTCAGCGTATGGTGGCCCCAAGAACACAGGTCTGTGGATCTCAGCTCCATCTCTGCTTCACTTGTCCTGAAGGAGGCAGATGGGGCTGGGCCAGGGGCCTCAGCCTGGAGCTCCGCGGGCCTCCTGGAGGTGGGAAAGGGAGGTTGGACGTAGGCGTGTGACCCAGGATTTGGTGGCCGCTGGGTGCTCTTTTCCCAGTTTGTGGAGCAGAGCGAGTCTCAGGTCAGACCAACTGACCCGTCATTTCCTCTCCCCGCCCGGCCCCCAGCCTGTGACTGTGATTTCCGGGGAACCGAAGGCCGAGGCTGTGACAGAGTGTCCGGCCGCTGCCTGTGCCGCCCCGGCCTGACAGGACGTCGCTGCGACCAGTGCCAGCGTGGCTACTGTGACCGCCACCCGGTGTGTGTGGCCTGCCACCCTTGCTTCCACACCTACGATGCCAACCTCCAGGAGCAGGCCCTGCGCCTGGGCAGCCTCCACAACGCCACTGCCAGCCTGGGGTCCAGGCCAGGCCTGGAGGACCAGGGCCTGGCCTCTCGGCTCTTGGATGCCAAGAGCAGGATGGAGCAGATCCAGGCAGTGCTGGGCGGTGCCCTAGTCTCAGAGCACGACGTGTCACAGGTGGCCAATGGCATCTTCTCCATCAGGTAGCCGAGTGTGTAGAAACCTCAGCATTACGTGGCTTCCCATCAGGGACATCCGGTCCTGCCCAGGCTGGTGCAGCCCACTGTCTTCTATGGGGGCATTTCCTGGGTGTCTTTGGTTCTGGTGTGGCAGGTGGCATGACTTCATTTTTTGCACAAGGGGACGAGGTGGTGTGACAGAGCCACGCACGCGGCCAGCAGGGCTGGGACTTGGAGCACAGGCCCGGAGCCCATGCTTCAGGCTCAGTCAGCTCTGCATTAGTCACCTTGGGGCATTGGCGGGCGGGGGGCGGGGTGCTAGAAATAGCTGCTCACTTGCCTTCCCAGTGGAAGCCCTCCCGCAAGCTCCACATCTTCTTTCTGAAGTTTCTTGCTTGCATTTCCCACGCCCTGGCTTTCTGATGGTGCATGGGGTGGGGGAGTAGCAGGCGGGGTGGGAGAGTAGCAGGCGGGGTGGGGGAGTAGCAGGCGGGGTGGGGGGGCAGGGAACATCCAGACGTGCAGTGGGCTGCAGAGCAATGGAAATGGAAGCCCTGGTACCCCTGGATGTGCTGGCTGTGTCTAGGCACGGGTACCAGAGCAGGGGTTGGTGCTCATTCACCCACTTACTCATGCATGCATTCATCCATCCACTGCTCATGATTTTAAAGCATTTCTCATGAGCCAAGTGTTGTAGAAGGCGGCGGGTGTATGCACGTGGATGTGACATTCACAGGGCAGGGACCAGGGGATGCTCTGTGTCAACACTGTCCCGGAACATGGCCTGTGTCATAAGAGAGGCAGAGCTCCCACAGAGGGGGTGAGCCAGGCGGGCTTCACAGAAGAGGTGCCGACTGACCCCAGACCCGGTGTTGGTAAAGCCATGCTCAGGCATTCGGTGGGTTGGGGATACGGGCGCGGAGGGGCATCTCACACAAGAACAACCTGTGCTGAGCCCAGCCTGGAGAGGGCCACCATGAGCTTGTGTCTGCCGGAGCTGCATGGGGCCCAGGGACAGCCCAATGGCCTGGCTGGGGAGCGGACCCTCTCCCTCAGCCGGCAGAGACAGTGGCCGTGTTAGCGGGTCTGGAGCTCAGTGGGTGTCTGTGGGCTGCAGGGGGGAGATTCGCGAGCCACAGCTGTGCAGGCAGCCTGCAGCAAGGAGAGGAGAAGGGGCTGTGCCCAGGAGCAGGGAGACAGCCAAGGAAGCAGTAGGAAGAGAAACACCGTAGGGAGACTGGATGTGAGGGAGGGGATGCCGGGTCACAGGCTCACCTTCAGGTGGTAGAGGTGGTCATGCTGGGACCTGCAGCGGCAACCTCTGCACCACTGTCCCCTCCCTGGCCTTGTGGGTTCTCCATCCTGCCGCCTTGGCCCAAGGCCTTTGCTTTTCCTGACCCTGCTGGTTCTGGTGAGGTCTGGGACAGTGACAGTTCCCCTCCCATGACAGGCAGAGTCTTCAGGGTGTGCAGCTGGACCTGCCGCTGACTGAGGAGCTGCTGTCTTTCCCGGGAGACTTGGAAAGCCTGGACAGGAGCTTCCAGCACCTCCTTGTCCTGTATCAGAACAGGAGGGAGCAATTTGAAAAACCAGCTAGCACGGATCCTTCAGGTGAGACGAGTGGGGCGCAGACAGCACCACATTGTGGACCTAGGGGGACGGGGTGGGGCTGTGAGCCACCCACTCTCCCAGGCCCCTGCAGCCAGGTGCAGGGCCAGCCCCATTCTCTCCTCCTGCAGGAGGCTTCCACGTGCTGACTGAAGCTTATAAGCGTTCGGCCCAGGCTGCCCAGCGGGTGTCCGACAGTTCCAGCTTGTTGAGTCAACTCAGAGAAAACCGGAGAGAGGCTGAGAGACTGGAGTGGCAGGCAGGGAGTGGAGGGGCTGCCAGCAGCCCCCAGCTTGAGGCCCTGCGCCTGCAGGTGGCCGCCTTGCCTGACCTGACACCCACCATCAACAAGGTGACTTGACATGCTGCTCTGCCTCAGCTTGGCACACACTGGTCACTGCCATTCGGTCCGCATCAGAGCGAAGCTGACCCAGAGAGAACCTACCCCACTCCCCATCTAGCTTGACCCTTGTGCCCCTCACCCGGTGCTCAGTGGTTGCCAAGGAAACAAGTTGCTGGTGCCCAGTTGTCATGGTGATATCTGGGTGTGAGTTTCCCGAGTGTTTGCTGAGGAGCTTCTCGATAACCCCTTGTTTCTCCCCAGCTCTGTGGTGGCTCCAGACAGACGGCCTGCACCCCAGGAGCATGCCCCGGCGAGCTGTGCCCTCGCGACAACAGCACAGCCTGTGGCTCCCACTGCACAGGTGCCCTCCCCAGGGCGGGCGGGGCCTTGCGGACGGCAGGGCAGGTGGCCGAACAGCTGCGACGCTTCAACGCCCAGCTCCAGCAGACCAGGCAGATGGTAGGTGAGGCAGAGGAGGGCAGGCATGGCCGGGGCAAGGCACAGAGCCTAGAGCCCCTGGGAGGTGGAGAGTGCTCTGTTCCAGAGCCAGCGGGTTAAACCCCAGGGACTGCAGGTGACTTGCACAAGACCCCACAACATGTGCGAGAGAGAGCGAGCTTGGAGCCAATGGTTGGGCTTTATAAAAACCCAACATCCATGTCATTTCTCTTGGGCCAAGCCAGGTTGTTTGTGAGTGTTCCGGGTCTTAGGTCGGAGGATGAGCCACAGGCACTTTGCGAGCTGCCTCTGCCCCTCCTGACCGGGACTGGGGCCGTGTTCATCAACAGATAAGGGCAGCGGAGGAGGCCGCCTCGCAGGTGCAGTCCGACGTGCAGCGCCTGGAAACCCAGGTGAGCAGCAGCCGCTCCCAGATGGAGGAAGGTCTCAGCCGCACCCGGCTCCTCATCCAGCAGGTCCGGGACTTCCTCGCAGGTGAGCCTGGGCCCTGGTTCTGCGTGCCCCCAGTCCCATGTCATCAGCTACCCGCCTCCTCCCCTCATCTCCACACCTGTCAGTATCCTGAGCCAGGCCCCCATTACAGGACAACAGCAAGGCCTTGGACTTCTCCCCCAACTCCTCTCCTATCCCCTGTGATCCATTCACATCCTTTAAAAGGACAGGTATTGGCTTACATCTCCACCTTGCTTCATGTCCTCCAATGGCTTCCCCTTATTCTTGGACAAACAAGCAATCTGCCGTGACCTCTGCTTGCCTCCTGGCTGAGACCCTGTGCACCTGTCCCCACCGACCACCCTTGGATACATAAACGCCTTGCTTGGGATGTGGGATGTGGGATGTGGGATGTGCGTGTGCTGTTTCTCTGCACGGGATGCTCTTTTCAGAGCTGACGCTCCTAGGGTCGCAGGCCTGGGTTTATGTGCCAGTCGCCCCAAGAGATCCATCTTGACCAGCCCTGCCTGTGATCCACCCTCTCCCCATGGCATACCCCTCCAGTGCCTTCACTTCATCACGCATGATTCTGAACTCTGTGGGTGTAGATGCTCTGTCTGTCCTGCTAGTCCAATTCTGAGTGGGCAGGGCTGGTGCGTGTCTGTCTGACTTACAGCTGTGTCACCAGCGCCTAGCACAGGGCCAGGCCCTAGGAGAGAGTCTGACGTGGGTGGATGGGATAGACGAACCAGATCCCTTCCTCGCTGGCCTGGGGAGTGAGAGCGAGCCCTGAAATGGCAGGGTCCTCACGCAGGCCTCAGTGCCCGCTGTGACTTCAGGCACACTGCTTTCCTCTTTGCTTCGTCCTTCACTGGCAGATGGAGACGCTAGTATTTCACAAGTTTATTCCGAGGATCCATTAACTGATATAAAATGTGTTTTGAAAAAATGAAAGGTGCCTCCGGAATGTGAGTTGATATTATTAGATTCCTGGTCCCTGCCAGGGAATTTGCTTGGCAGGGAGCCCAGTTAATATGAGCTAGGGCTTGGTGTGACGGCAGTAGCTCCTCTTGCTACTATTACAGTGTTTTGCACAACTAGGGCATGGCTCCCTTCTGAGTGCAGATGGCAGGTCGGAGTGAGACATGAGGATCCATGGAGGTCTCATGATGTGCTTGAGGCCGCGAGGCCCGGCGAATGTCACTGAGAACACGGGGGGATGGCAAAGCTGTGGGGTTCAGATTCAAAGAGAGGAACCATGTCACTGAGTCAAGCCCAGTGAGACTGAATGGGTGCTCATCCTGCATTGACCTTGGCTAGGGCCCTCAAAGCGGGGTGTGTGTGTGTGTGTGTGTGTGTGTGTGTGTGTGTGTGTGTGTGTGTGTAGGGGAAGGTGTGCTTAGGGCTTTTGCCCTCTGGTAGAGCCCAGGCTCATGTGAACAGGCAGGAAGGCAGCAGCCAGCTACCTTCTGCCCTCTCAGCTAGACTGGCTCTCAGTGCAAGTCCTGGGATGAGTTCAAGGGCAGAGAGATGGAGCATTGCCTGAGAGGAGTCCGGGATAACTCACAGTTGCTGTGGTGGTGGGCTCGGCTCTTTGGAGTGGTATTAATGCTGGCAGCTGCTGGCTGCTGTGCCCAGTGTGGGAGTGGGAGGAACCCATTCACAGAGCAGGCCTGGTCCCGCCCAGTTCTTCCGGTGGAGCCTGCGTGATGAAGAATGAAGGCTGATGAAGTTCTTGCCAAGTACCAGGCATGGCTCTGAGTGCTTGCATGTGTTACGTTTAAAATCCTGACCACAGGAGCCAAACACTGCTGTTAATTCTACTTCCCTTATAAGTAATGTAGGCGCAGAGAAGTTAGGCAGCCTTTCTGAAGGTACCAGCTCAGAGATGGCATACTGCTCAGGTTCAGTGGGCTCCCTCTGTTGTCCACACCACCCGTCGGTGCGTGGACACACACACACACACACACACACACACACACACACACACACACACACACACGGTCTCCTTTGCTAGTCTGCTTCTTCTCTCTGGATGGCCTCGCCTGACCTGCCCAATTCCTGCTCATCCTCTAAGTATTGTTCAGACATCAGGAAGCCCCCTACACCTCTCCTGCTTGGGTGGGCTGCTGAGTCAGTGGCCTTCTTAGCATCTCTGGCAGGATTAGGTCTCCTGTTGATCCGCCTGCGTCTCCACGTCATGCTCCATTGGGGCAGGAACCAGGTCTAGGTGGGCTCACAGTCTCCACTGCTCATACACTGTGGTCCAGAGCAGTAAGCATCTGCCAAGCCCACCCTGGGACCCAGAAGGCCACAAGACTGGAGTGGGACATCTGAGGGGTGCAGAATCAAGGAGAGCCGGAGCTGGAGGGGAAGTGCTCATTTGGTTGGAGGAGCCTTCTGGGGGAGCCCTTTCTCAGCCCCCTGGGAGAGTGGGTCTGTGGTTCACATAACAGAGGGGTGTCCTTGTAGAAGCTAGCGGACCAGGAAAGCTACATGGTTAAACTCAGCTAGGCTGCCCCAGGAACACGGCTGCAAACTGACACAGCTTCGGCCTTCCTGGTGGTGTGGGGTGCTGCTGCAGCCTGCTGGGGCCACAGGGGAGGTCAGGCCCCAGGAGAAGCCTCTGGGTGGCAGCCCCGTCCTCTTCCCCCCAGTCCCAGCCAAACCTGCCAGCAGCACAGAGGGAGGAGAGGAGGAGCTGCAGTCTCCCCACTGTTGGCCTTACTTTCCAGCCAAGGGTTGGTGCGTGCAAACCTTTGCTTATTGATTGTTTTGCATTGCACCTTCAAGATGGGATCGTCCTGCCCATTTTCCAGATCAGGAAACTGCACTCAAATATTTGCCTCAGGTTGCTTGCATTGGTAAAGGGTGGATGGACTGGAGCCCTTTTGATCATTCATTCACTCTCCAGACACCCAGGGCCTCCAAGTTCTAGGTGCTGTGAGAGGGTCTGAGAACACAGCTATGGACAAAAACCAGTCCTAGTCTTCCCAGAACTTCTTTTTTTAAAGATTTATTTATTTTTATTGGAAAGACAGATATACAGAGAGAAGGAGAGACAGAGAGGAAGATCTTCTGTCTGATGGTTCACTCCCCAGGTGACCACAGTGGCTGGTGCTGAGCCAATCCAAAGCCAGGAGCCAGGAGCTCTTGCGGGTCTCCTATGTGGGTGCAGGGTCACAAGAATTTGGGCTGTCCTCACCTGCTTTCCCAGGCCACAAGCAGGGAGCAGGCCACCGGAATTAGAACTGGCAACCATATGGGATCCTGGCTTGTGCAAGGCGAGGACTTTAACCACTATACTATCGCTCCGGGCCCTTCCCAGAACTTATATGAACAAGGTCAAACAGGTGGGCTCAGTGTTGGGCAGACAGGTGGTGCTAGATGCTGGGGAGGGAGGTCGAGAGGTGAGGAGGAGGCCTATGCTGGACTCTCCAGAAAGGGACATCTGGGCCAAGACTTCCTGTTCCTTCTCTGCATTTGTGAGGACAGGCTCTCCAGGACGGCAGGAAGAAAGGGTCTCCTGGCCAGCTCCCACTGCCCTCCCTGACTGTGGGTTGGGGCTGTGTGCACTGCAGGCATTGTTCAGTAGCAGCTGCCTGGCACCAACTCCTCTTCCAGCCCCAGCTTCCTGTGGTGGCAGCAGTTAGCTGACACAGCTGTGCCAGCCCTCCTCCCTGCAGCAGGGAGTGTGGGACAGTCCTCCAGCAGCACTCCTGGGAAGTACGGGGCAGATGGGCAGGCGCTGGCACTGGGGTTCTGAGGAAGCCACAGCTTGGGGGGTCCCAGCAGCACCTTCCGTCGTTGTGGCTGAAGGGCCTGCAGAAGTCCCCAGTTTTGGGGGAGGTAGGTGGGTTCCTGCATTCTGATGGACACACTTCTCTTACAGATCCCGACAACGACGCAGCCAGCATCCAGGAGATGAGCGAGGCTGTGCTGAGCATGTGGCTGCCCGCAGACTCGGCCACCGTGCTGCAGAAGATGCGTGAGATCCAGGCCATTGTGACCAGGCTTCCCAACGTGGATCTGGTGCTGTCCCAGACCAAGCAGGACATTGAGCGGGCCCGCAGGCTGCAGGCTGAGGCTGAGCAGGCCAGGTGCAGCCTTGGACCCTGACTTTCTACCTGGCCTGGGGATGGGCTGCTGTGTGATTCCCCCAACCCTTTACAGAGGGCTGGGAAGAGGCAGGGGTGGGGGCGGGTTGAGGGCCACACAGTCCTATTTCAAGCCCTTTGTGCCCCTATGTGCCTGCCACTCACAGCTGCGTCAAGGAACACCCTGGTATGGCATCCACACTCATCTCCACCTTGGGTTCTTATTCTCCTGGCGACTGGCCTTGGTGGGGAAGGACCTTGTCTTAAATGGAGATAACAGTTAAATATGTGTATATTCTGCTGCTGTCTCATGCTGTCTGCCTCCTTGCCCCAGGAGCCAAGCCCATGCCGTGGAGGGGCAGGTGGAGGACGTGGTCGGACACCTGCGACAGGGCACCGCGGGGCTACAGGAAGCACAGGTCACCATGCAAGGCACTGGCCGCTCCCTCCGGCTCATCCAGGAGAGGGTTGCTGAGGTGAGGACTGGGGGCCCCTTCCGGCATCAGCATTTAGTGATGGACAGGGAGACTCAAGTACAAGACATGGAAGATGCCAGGAAGCGACCTGGATGGGAATTGGACTGGAGGTCGAGAGAAGGAGGGTGGCCCACCTAGGGCTTGGCCTCGTGGCTGGGGTGCAGGAGGCAGGGATGGCTCGGAGCTGCAGCAGGTTGAGGCCAGCTGAGCTGCAGGAAGAGGAGGTCGGGATGTCAGTAGCCAGGTAAGGGTTCCACAGGGAAGGCAACCGTTGCAACATCCCCACTGGAGAAATTTTCATCGCCTAAAGAGCTGGAGTAAAAGTGGAGCCCCAGCCTGTGAGACCCTCTGCATCAACTCCTGCTCTGCTTTCTCTTTCCCCAGGTTCAGCAGGTCTTGGGACCGGCAGAAGTGCTAGTGACAGGCATGACAGGCCAACTGGGTGACTTCCAGGCGCGGATACAGAAACTTCGGCTCCAGGCCCAGCAGCAGCGGGCACAGGCAACCCGGGCTCAGCAGCTCGCAGTGGGAGCCAGCCAGCAGGCACTGAGTGCCCAAGAGGTACACGGAGGGCCAAGTGAGCCTGGTGATGCCACCTGGGGAGATGGGTCTGGTCAAGAAGGGCTTGGCCCTTTATAAGACTGTGCATGGACTGGTGCCATCAGCTGATCTAAACAGCAGGACCTGGCCAGGCATTTGAGCTGTATCTGAGTGGCTGGCTCACTGTTGTGGCCAGTCTTCTTTCACAGGCGAGGGAGTGATACGTCCTCAAGCCCAGAGCTCATCTGCACAACAGGCTTGACACACAATCCGGAGCTTGCCTCCTGCCTCCCAGGCCTGACAGGCAACTCTTGGCTTAGCTTCTCTTTAAGAGAACAAGATCAGAGAAATTCTGAGAGCCATTCTCCGTATCTCAGGTATACCAGCTGCTCCGCAGCCCAGGGTCAGGAGCATTGGCATGTGTAGTTCAGGGCCAATGACCTAATGACTAAGTGTACTATTAGGTGGTAGCTGGCCATTAACAAGCAGTTGTGGGCCTGGCATGGGACTGGGAATGTGAGGGTGGGAGAGGGGTGGGAAGCAGTGGAGACAGAGAAGGGAAGCACAGGGTGTGGCTTGTGGCTTAGACACCTCGAAGACACTGGGGAGTAACAGATGGCGCCTGAACTGTGTGTGGAGTGGGTGACGTCAGGCTCTCCAGCCCTTTGGAACTCTGGCTGATGATGATGGCAACACTGAGACCATGCTATGCCTTTCAGGGATTTGCGCAACTCCAGCAGAAATACACAGAGTTGAAGGGTCGTTTGGGTCAGAGTTCCATGCTGGGTGAGCAGGGCAACCGGATCCTGAGTGTCAAGACAGAGGCGGAGGAGCTGTTTGAAGAGACTGTGGAGATGATGGACAGAATGAGAGGTGAGGTCTAGGGGCATAGCCTGCTGGGCAAAGGGTCAGTGGCCACCTGTGGCATCTGAGGCCTCCTTTGGTGAAAGCTTTTTGTGCCAAGGGTGTGAGAGCAAAGGGTTCCTCCCGGCACCTGGGAGGCACAGCCTGCCCTCGGGAAGCGTTCCACCCAGATGATGTCCTCTGGCCCTCTTGCCCACTGGATGCATGAAGGTGGTCCGTGTTGGGGCTGGAATGACAGGTGGCTTCAGGGAGATGTGCTGGGTGAGATAAAGGTGCAGGGCTAGGCATGCAGCCGGAAGTAGAGTAAAGGACCAAGATCGGGCATGTGGAAGAGGGGAGAGAGGTAGCCAGGGACTCACATGGTTCCTGCACGTGGCTGGGCTCTCCTGCGAGGGAGGATACAGAGGCAGAGTGGCCCTGGGAGCAGCAGGAAGCTGCCCTCCTGTCTCTGAACATGGCAGAGACCCAGTGAGTGTCCTTGGGCAGTTCCAGTTCTCCTCAGTAAAAAGAAGCAAGGATTTCCAGCAGTGTCCACCTCCATGATCAGGGCACGGGCCTGGGGTGTCCGCCAGGTACCACCATCAGAGGCACATTGGCAGAGGAAACTCCTTGGTTAGCTGAGTGAATGTCATCACTGAGACAGCCAGGTGGCTGGATCGGTGATGGGTAAGACAGGAAACTGCAGCCACCCCCAGCCGATGGGCCAGATCAGAGGGGTAGACCTGCAGGAAGGTGGCAGTGGCTGGGTTGACATTGCCCACATCTTGCCCTCAGTGGGTGGAAAAGGAATTTGCTCAATAAGTGTGTGGACAATGGACAGGTAGTATATTGGGCAGCAGAACCACTCTGCTCAGGCTGTAGCCAAAGTCTCAAAGAATGGGCTGAAGCTAATAGAAGGAAAAAAGCAAACCTCCCACTCCGCCTTGTTTGATTAGCCCTCAAATACAGCTCAGGGGAGGCCTGGCCTCTTAGAGGCTAAGGATGGCAGGAACACCAATGAGGAAGTGACAAGCAAACACCAGTTGCTGCTCTCCCAGAAGGTCCAGGAGTTTGAGGAGCTGCAAGTGTGCTCCATGGTGAATGTGTCGCTGCTGCCACAAGAGCTGGTGCACACACAGGAGCTAAAATAAGGAGGTGACATAGAAGCTCTCAAGCCACTGGTGTGGTACACATCCACCGACAGGAAGGTCAGGATGTTAGCCTGAGAGGAAGCTTTCCCCTGCCTGCAGTGCGACAGTTACCTGCAGGACACTAGGGAGGGTTGTGCGTGAGGTGGGGGAGCTCTGGGTTTTGGGGTCCTGGGAATGGAACGGCAGCTGTTTCACAACCCTGTGAACAGAAGTGTTTGATCAGCCTGTGGGTCCATGTGGCTGCCTGCTGGCTGAAGAACAGCCCAGTAACAACCCAGTGCCAGATATGCTAGGAAGAATTGTGTCCACATGGGGGCTACTCCACCTTCAGATGGGAAGCCCACAAAGCTGTAGCCACCAGGGGGGAGGGGGAACCTGGGGCAGAAAAAGGGAGGGACACACGAATGATACCAGATGGGGAGCAGACAGAATGCCCCAAGGGCTGGATTGCTGTATGGGGACATGGCAGGTGTATTTCCGTGCTGCCCAGGGACACAGGCCTGAGACAGCTGGGTGGATGGAAACATGACTTTTCTCTTTTCTTTTAATGACCAGAGGTGCATGAAGGCAGTCTGTGTTCCCACCTTGTTCCTGGGAGTGCTCACCCCAAGACTGAGTGTAGGAGAGGGGACTCCTGCTAGAGCAGGGGCAGGCTGAACTGCAACACTGCAGAACCCACCTGTCACCTGGAGGTGGTGTGCAGAAGAAAGGACTGCATCTTTCTGCAGTGGCATTTGGGGCAGGGAGAGTGGGCATGGATTCAGGTCACCCAGCCACCAGCTTTTTTGCTTGCTAAGGAACTTGCATGATGGGCCTTGGTGGCTTGGCAACTGTCTGGGTCCCATAGCAGTGGATTGCTTATGGCTCCTGTATCAGCTGGGACCACTGAAATAGCCAGAGCAGAGGAGAGGGGCAGGGACATTGGGTGACTGGGGGTGCCCCTGGGCTAACGCCTGCCTTCTGAGTTCTTCTAAGACTGGTGTAGGAGGTAGCCTGGGGCAGCAGAGGAGAAGGCAGAGAGGGACAACTTTGGGTACCTCCCCACCCACTTCTCCTTTGCGGTTCTGTTCAGACATGGAGTCGGAGCTGCTGCGGGGCAACCAGGCCATTGTGCTGCGCTCAGCGGACCTGGCAGGGCTGGAGAAACGCGTGGAGCAGATCCGGGACCACATCAGTGAGCGTGTGCTCTATTATGCCACCTGCAAGTGAGGCCTGCCCTTCTGTCCGCCTCCCTGGCCTTCTGCCCCTCTCCATTCCACCTCCCACCACCACCACGTGGCTCCTGGGGAGCAGCAGGCTGGGATGATTTCTGGCTCCTGGAACCGCCCGGAGCAGAGCCTAGACCTCCGTTGGTGTGTGGCTGTTTGGTGACCTTGGGCTACAGCTGAGCCTGAGCTGGCGGGACCCCCATGTTGGCAAGATGTACTTGCTGCTGTGACCATGACCTGGGAATTTTCAAGTCCAGAGGGGCTGGGCAGGGCAGAGTCGTTACCCTCTGATCTGTTGTGGCTGAATCCTGGACACACACACAACTTGTAAAAAAAAAAATGATGTGTAAGTGAAGACCCAATAAAAATCCTTGGACAGGAGCTTGAGGCTCAGAGAGGGAAAATGGCTGTCTCCTGGCTCTGTTTGTCTCTGACTTCTGTCTGAGTTCCTGGACACTCTTCTGCTTGAGCCCATTGGGCACCTGCTCTGCTCAGTCCAGCTAGCCTGGAGCCCAATGGAGGGGGAACTGGACCCTCCCCAACCGGGACCTGTGGGATCCCATTCTGGGACGATTACAGGTACCATTCTCATCTTTGAACAGCAGCCCAGCTTTTGAGTGACAGATGAGGAAGCTAAAGCCTAAAGAAGAGACATGATGGGTTCCCAAGTCACACAGGCCGCAAAGGCAGGACTAAAGTGATGTCTGCCTGGGGCCCTCCAAGGAAAGATTGTATAGGAATGCACATGTGTGTGTGGTGTGTGTGTGTATGCATGCATGCACGTGCTAACCATATCCTGGTGGTGCAAAGCATCTTCTCTATATTAACTCGGGCTCATGATCTCCTGATGTTGGTGGTGCTGCCTGGCCCCTAGAGGAAGTGAGGAAACTGAGGCCTGAGCAACTTGTTAGCTGGGCTGTAGCTGAGTCACTTACGTGTCACAGAGATGCTAGGTTGGCCAAGGCTGTGGCTCAGACTTGTCTTCTAACATGGTCTTTAAGAGAAGGGATGTTGGAGCCCAGGCTTCCTGCCACCTAGTGGTGGTGGCGAGCATGTCACACATGTCACCACCAGGTGCGTGGCACACTGCGGGCGCCTCATGCAGATCGGCTTCCACTGTTGATTCCTGTCCTGTGTCAAGCTGCCCACGCACTTTCCACGTGACACACTCAGAAGTTCCTGAGCTGCCTCAGACTTTGAAAGAAGCAAGCAGAGCCCCATAGAGAAAAATATGTCCATTTTATTGCACACAACACTGAGCATGAAGCTGGAGGGGCGGAGAACGGCAAGAACTGATGCACCTGACCTGGGAGAGAATGGGAGCCAGATGCAGGAGAAAAAGCCCCTGGCCAAGACGAAAACAGTCAACTCCCAGTGTCTGCTCAACCAGAGGTGTGTGTGCAGGGCGTGCAGACGGGAGGAAGAGTCATCCGTATCCCTGGACAGCAGCCTGCCTCTGTTTGACGATGCACCCCCTCCCCCGAGGTGTGGCCTGGTGTGAGACCATAGCCGGGCAAAAGCTGCACAGTGTGCCTGCGAGGAAGAGGCTGGCTGGGCATCAGCATGGTGATAGCTGGTGGAGAGCTAATCCTGGAGTCAGGGATGAGCGTGTCAAGCACTCACAGGCAAAGCCCCGGGAGCTGCCTGGCTGTCATGCAGGTGGGCAGGCAGTTGTATCAGAGAGCCTGGCCTTGGCCAGGAGTGTGGGACCAGAGAGGCAGGAGCTAATGTGCACAGAGCAGGCTGTCCTGGGCAAATGTTTTGTATGGCTTTGCTTAGAGGAGGTGGCACAGCTGGGCCAGCCCGTGAAGCTTTCAATAGCAACAACGCAGACCCAGGCGGGAGCTATCTAGGGACACTGGGTTACAGGGGGCATAGAGCAGGCAGGTCGGGAAGCCGGCCAGTGCCGCTCCTCCTGCCCACGGCGGTGTTAAGGACCCTCCAGGCCCAGGGGCTCCCTCGTGGGGTCCCCTGTGAAGTCTGTCCCTCAGGCAGCAGCCGGCAGGTGCTTCTGACCAGAAACTGCTCCTGCCAGCACCTGCTGTACTTTCTCCTTCCCTCTGCCAAGCAGGCACCGGGTGTGGGAGGACAGAGAAGACTGGACCATCTCTCCTGCAAAGCAAAGGGGCAGGGGTCAGGCTGAAGAGCTGCATCCTCTATTCCCCTGGACCCCTCCTTTATACCCTAAGGAGGCGCTTGCTTTCTTGAACCAAAGCCCCAGGCCCTGGCTCTCCGATCTCAAGTCCTTACCTGAAAAGTACAGTGACACATGCCCAGACTCCAAGCATCACATGATGACACAGACCCCAGTCTGCCCTGCCCGGCAATGAGAGCTGCCTCCGGCTTTCATTGGCACTGTGACCTCTGACCTGAAGTTTCTGGAAAGGAAACAAAGCCATGTTTGAGGAAGACTAATAGGCCATAATCAACCCAGTTGAGAGATGAGCAAACGGGAAATGGACACACCCATGGACTCCTCTGTTGATGGTGTTTTGCAGCAACTGAGTTGTGGGCACAGGGGAGGGAACATTCTCCTGACCCTGACCCAGACCTTGTCCCACCCTCCAGAGCCACCTGTGTTTGCATGGGAGAGGCCGTCCTGGCACCTCAGGCCTGTGGTCCGAGTTCTCCTAGCACAGGCCAAACAGGGCTATGTCTTTGGCTGAGATACGTACTGTTTTTTGTTGGCCTTTTTGAAGAGTGTGGGCTCAGAGCAGTAGGAAGACTTCCCCTTGCTCCCAATGCTCAGGCAGCTGGAGCAGCAGCCACAGGGCCCAGCGACCAGGGGTCCGTGATGCATGGGTACCAGGCTGCTACTGATGCGGAGGGAGCCATTGACCAGGCAGTTGAGGGACCTGGCACCTGGGGTAGTGGGCCGGGGACTGTGCTGGCAGGGCAGCCGGGGTGGCAGCGTGGGGAGTGGGGTGCTCTGGTCCAGGGCAGGTGCCTCGGTGATGGTGATTTCAGGGGAGGCGGGTCTTGAAGCTTCAGAAGTTTGAGTGATGGGCGACCTGTTTTCTACTTCCAGGCGGCCCCCCGGGCTGTGCAAGTTCATGTGTAGTTTCCTCATGTGGTGTACCACAGCGGCTGCATTGAAGGCTTGCTAAGGAGACACAGGCAGCCTCTGACCTTCTGCATTCTTGAGCTGTCCCCTGGACCCACTTCTCCACCCAAAGATGGCACAGAGAGCTCCTCGGACCGGCTGGGATGCCGCGAGGAAATCCCTGTGCCAGCCCTGGCCCCAGCAAAGCATCCAGGCAACCCCAACAGCAGGTGACTCACCCTCCACTTGCTCTTGGCAAAGTTCTTCTGGATTTGGAGACTGACAGAGGGGTAGATGTCCCGGTGGAGGGCAGTGTTTCCATCAATCCTGGAGGTACAGGAGAGCCCACCTGGCTACTGGGGAAACTGTGGGCCTTCAGCGCTGGGCAGGGGATAGGGTATGCAACCCAGGACAAAGGCTTAAAGAGTGTCCTGGGAGGGGGGCGGCCCACAGGAGGAAAGGGATGGAGCCCAGGGCACCTTTGACAAAACCAATACTTGAGAGCAGGTTAGTCAACTGCAGCCTGTGGGCCCAAGCTACCTGTTGATCGTTTTTGTTACTAAGTTTCCATCAGCATGCAGTCATGCTTGTTGGTTCACACAGGGGCTGCAGCTGCACAGAGGTGCTGTGAAGGCAGTTGACCCATGGCCAAAACTACAGTATGGCCAGAAAAGCCTAAAATACTGACTTTCTAGCCCCTTTACAGAAAGAGGTGACTAATTCCTGTATTCCAGGACATTTGGGTCCTCACCATTCCGGAGCCCAAAGGCTTGCTCCCAACCCACCTCCTCCTGGAAGCCTGCCTGGGGGGGGCCATCTGCCCACAGTCACCCCTCTCCCACTGCTCCTTTTTTGCATTACTAAGGGCTCCTCACATACCTGCTATATGCACAGTACTGCCCCAAATATGAAGGGACCCAGAGAAGTAAGAGATTTGAGCTCTGATCACTAAGTGCCCCTAACGTCAGTGTGGGGCGGGGTCCTGCTGTGGCCTAGAGTCCTCCATGGTGAGCTACGCAATTCCTAAGGAGGATGAGGGCAGGGCATATGGCCTGCAGGACTCAGGGAAGCGGCAGAGGTGGAAGAGAATCCTGGAGGATTACGGGAGGGCAAGAGGCAGGATGGTCTAAGTGGTGAACTCCGTGCAAATCAAACCATGCCTGATGCAAAGCTTAGAGAGGACAGCAGAGAGAGGATTGTGCAGCTCTCAGGCACACACTTAGCAGAGATGCTCTCTGGGGAACACATGAAGGATCAGGGAAGACTGGGGAAACCCTGCAAAGACCAAGGAATCTGAGCTTGCACTGGGAGGAAGTAAAGAGCGATTGCGAAGCCTTGAGCAGGGTTCAGGCTGGTTTATGCTATAGTGTAGTGGATAAAGCAATGCCAGCATCCCATATGAGTGGGATTCAGCTCCTGGCTCCTGGATTTGACCTGGTCCAGCAGTGGCAGTTGCGATCAGCTGGGGGATGAACCAGTGGATGGAAGATTTCTCTCTGTCCATCTCTCCCCATGCTCACCTCTATAATTCAAGATAAATAAATGTATCGTAAAAATAGGGTTAGGGCTTATATATTTTAAGGCTTTACCATCTTTACTCATTGGCCATTGATTGATTAGGATCACAGGATCTGTTTTGATCACAGAGTTCAGGACAGAGTTCCTGAACGTTTTTTTTTTCCTGGTTTAATAAGGACTTGTTTATTTTGAGAAAAAAAGGTCTCAACATCAGGCTGTTCACAAAAATAACCCACAGTATCAACTTTAGAAAGACTATTACACTACTTTTTTTTTTTCTGGAGGATACGTTTGACATGCCAACTCTCATTCACAAAAACACATTGTTACAGTTGTGTTGAACAGCCCCACACAGCACTGTTACATAGGGTAGAGCACACACACCTTTAACTCAAAGCTGCTCGCAGGTGCTACTCAGCTAAATGAAATGGCCTTTGCAGTTAGGGAAGCAACTACAGAACTCACGTATGCATGGAAAGAACTGTACTCCCTGCATTAACAAGAGATTAAAACCATATAACCTTTTTTATTGTTAAGTCAAAGAAGCATCAAAATTAAAAGCAAAAATTACAGGGCAAGACTTAACAAAACTACCAAGAGCATCATAGGAAGTGAAAATGGGACTAGGCACAGGGAAATGAATTAATGAACACGGGAAAGACAAGGATGGGGCAAACAGTGAGCATATGCTGAAGATACTAGGGGAGAGGATCTGGTGAAAATTGATATCAGACAAGCACCTAGATAAAGAAAT